ATTTTATCTAACTGACAAATATACTAACAAGTCATTTTCAGAATTTATCTGAGCTTTCAACTTCAGTGCTAAAGTCATGATTATAATATGGAATGGATCGTATTTTAAGAAAGACAAAAGCTGATCTAGTAAAATTACATAATTCTTCATCAGACAAAACCTGTAGACAAATAAATAGGACTATGCCTAAAAGCCAGACTTTCATTAACTCATTCAAATTGAATTAATGGAGACCCCAAATAATGTGCAAAGTAATGTTATCTTGAAGTCATTTTGAGAGTAGATTCAACTAAAAGTTCTCAAAAAAACCCAATGCCAATTAAGTAGTATCACTCTTCTTCATCATCAGAGCTTTTTCTCCTAAAATTTGAAACTACTTAAAAAGAAATCTGTTTAAATAGGCATTGTACTTGTATGTACTATAAATAGAACAAAGAATATCAAGTACATTAGAAAACTACCCAATCTTTTAGCTTTTGATCCTTGTTTTACACCTGTTCCTAGTGCTTTTCTTTGAAATAAAAGTTACTTCTTTTATATGTTGTATGATTTAAAGGAAGATGATCAATTATCATGTTTTAATTTAGTGCTGAATAACCCTTTTGTTCTTTCAAGGTCTTATTTCCAGCCAATATTGAGAATTTGAATCAGCTCTTTGTGATGGCCCAGAGCAAGATAGAGCCGTCTTCACCTACCTCATACATGCTGCCTTCTTCTGAATGCCTTGCTGTGCATCATTTTCTCTGAGTAGTGACAGCCTGAACAGGAACTTTCAGAGTCAGGGATCATGTAGCCAACAGCCTAAAGGATGGCTCTTTCCAGCATGAGAGAGCTACTGACACCTGCTCTCTTCTAGATGCTAGTTGATGTCTCAGAAGAACAGGCAAAACATTCATTTCCCTCTTCCCTCTTTCTTCACACCACTCAGTTTTCAAATGGCTCTGACATTACCAATGTACTTGACTTTCTTTTTTTAATTTTTTTAATTTTTTTTTTGAGATGGAGTCTCACTCCGTCACCCAGGCTGGAGTGCAGAGGCATACGATCTCGACTCACTGCAAGCTGCGCCTCCCGGGTAAAAGCCATTTGCCTGCCTCTGCCTTCAGAGTAGCTGGGACTAGAGGCGCCTGCCACCATGCCTGGCTACTTTTTGTATTTTCAGTAGAGACGGGGTTTCACCGTGTTAGCCAGGATGGTCTCGATCTCCTGACCTCGTAATCCACCCACCTTGGCCTCTCAAAGTGCTGGGGTTACAGGCATGAGCCACCACGCCCGGCCTGTACTTTGACTTTCAACCACCTTTTTGAAGGCAAGCAAAATAGGATAACTAGTAGTTGGTTGAGAATGTTTTAGAAGTTAATGAATGCAGCATCACTTGTTTGATATATGCTGAGTGATTATTCCCATTGGGTATGATGAGCTTCTCCTTGCTCCATTGTATGGAGCCTGCCTTTACCAACATCCCATCATGTGTAGAGGCACAGAGAATAATAGTGCCCATCCCAGAGGGCACGGAGAACCTAGCCCAGATTTATGCAAGAAAGACATGGCCCTGAGATGTAGTTAGTGAGGTGGAGCTGCAGCTACTGCACTCTTCAAGTTGGGAGACACTCACAGAAAATGAAGGTGCCCCACTGAGTCTATATGTAGTGGAGGCAAAGGTGGCTCCATCACTGACAGGCTGTGTGACTTACTTCAGTTAACTTGTCTTGAAGATGCAGTCCCCACAGGTTACAAATGGTTTGGATGCTATTTTAATGTTTTGTTTTGTTTTGTTTTGTTTTACTTGTAGTCTCCCTGGAGCATGTTCTTCTAAGAGCCTTCTGGTGACCCAATTAGACCAAAGCCTCTAGATAGGCTTTACTGAAGTACATTAATGCTAAACATTTGCAAGCAACCTGATTCAAGGCGTTCGTGGTGTGACATGTGGGGTTTAAGATCTTTTGTTTCTCCAGCTGCTAGAGAAAAAATAACTTCCACAAAGATCAGGTTAGATAGCTGATCTTGGCTCCATTAGTTTGAGGGAATGAGGACTGCTGTTCTAGCACTTCCTGGTTCATGAGGTGAGAACTTTTCCTACCTGTTCCCAGTAACTTCTGAAAGCTGGATGTGACTTTTCTAAAAATGGACTCTCTCTGCCACAGCACACTCAGGATATTTGGACACATAGTCTCCCTTCTATGACCTATTTAATGCCATTTATTCTAAGTACTTCAGGGCAGAGCCAGTTATTTATGAAGTGTAGCATGATGGAAAGTTGCCCTGAAGTGACAGGGGTATGTAAGAAGTCCCTCCCAATAGGACATACTTTTAGTTATAGTGGAATTAATTCACAAGGTAAAATTTTTCTACTTAACTCCTGTAAGTCTCAATTTCTTATCTATATTTATAATAATTACTTACATTTATTGAGTGCTTACTGTGTGCCAGGCACTATTCAGAGCATTTTATGTGTAGTAATCTGTTTAATTCTTATGATAGCTGTATGAAGTTGGATCTATTATTACATATAAATTAGAAATACGACACATAATCAGCTTGCAGGGGTTTTTCACAATGATCACATAATGTAAGGCTTATGAAAACCTTGGGGCCAGGCTCGGTGGCTCACGCCTGTAATCCCAACACTTTGGGAGGCCGAGGTGGACGGATCATGAGGTCAGGAGATCAAGACCATCCTGGCTAACACGTTGAAACCCCGTCTCTACTAAAAAAATACAAAAAAGTAGCCAGGCGTGGTGGCAGGCCCCTATAGTCCCAGCTACTCAGGAGGCTGAGGCAGGAGAATGGCGAGAAACCAGGAGGTGGAGCTTGCAGTGAGTTGAAATAGCACCACTGCACTCCAGCCTGGGCGACAGAGCAAGACTCTGTCTCAAAAAAAAGAAAAAAGAAAAGAAAAGAAAAAAGAAAACCTTGGTCATAGCACACTGTTTGTAGTTCCCACTTTCCTTCCCACGTAATGACAGACTTGATGCAGCTCAGGTTTAAAGAGTAAATTTGGATTAATGAGAGACTGAAGTACAATATGGATAGTGAAATTGCCCTGTGAAAAGAAAATTTTGGTAATATAAATATTTGGCTAGAAATCAAATTTGAATTTTCTAAACAGAGCTTCCACTGACCTCTAATGAACTGGCATATTCTGAGGAAAGAAGAAAGAAGTCATCCTACACTTGCACTGGTTTCTCCTGCCTGACACCTAGACTGCATAGTATGTCGATCACTACTTCTGGCTCTCTTTCATTTTTCTATTCATTCATTCATTCAATCAACAAATACTTATTACATACCTGCTATGTGCCAGTACTTGGCATAAGCACTAAGTATCAATGGTGAACATTACATACTCCCTGCTCTCCTACAGCTTAAAGCCAAACAGGGAAGACAGACACTAATCGACTTGTACATGAATAAATAATTACAGAGATTTTGCAACATGGTTTGAAGAGCATATGAAAAGTGCTTCCTGAAGAAATGAGACTTAAACCGGGAGGTAGAAGAGAAACCAGAAAGGTGTGGAAACATTAACAATATGAGAGATAGCTACAGGAGTTTGCCAGACGGAAGTCACTAACGCATTTAGCGAAAGTTTTGTGGGTGTGTCTAAGGTGGAAACCAGACTGGGAGTGCCCTAAAGAGACAATGAGTGAGAGGTGAAGAAATGGAGACAGTAATGAAACAAAAAACCCTTTCAAGACATTTAATGGTGAAGAAGAGGAGAAGGGAATATATGCTTAAGAGGGAGGGTCAGAGGACAAAAATATAAATATAGTAGCTTAGCTTTCTGTTATCTCAGCTGTCCACATCCATCTCTACTTCCAGTGAAAATAGTACAGAAAAAAAGGTACTTGTCCCAAAGTGAGTGAGTGTGCTTGAAAAAGAACCAAAGCTGCACTCTTATAGGAATATTCATTTGGTAACTTTAATATATGCAAACTAATAAAAGTTCTACCATAGAAACCCATCCTTTGGACAAGGCAGCAGCTTTATAAAATATAATATAATGACTCATTTATAATGAAATTTTACCTGTGTTTCAATTAAAAATATATTTTAAAATACTATTTTCCCAGATACACTGAATATGGTATAATTAGGCTAAACACATATTGATTCAAACTTATTATCTCAAAATTCTGTTATATGAACAAATCTGTGTGCTAATGGGGCACACTAACATTCAACTAAAGTGAATTGTATAGACACACAGCATTTCACTGGATGATTAATTTAAATGTTTAGAGAGAAAATTAAATCTTTCAAGTCACTAGCAGATTATTCTTGTCCTGGAAATCAGCTGATGCTGTTGCTGCAGTGAATAAAACAGGCATTTGTAACACTGTAAAAAACTAAAAGAATAACTTGGGGATGACATTTAAAGAGTTCTAGTCCCCCTTGAAGCCATTTCTATCAATATAGTTTGTAGGCATCTATTTTTACTGTCATCAAAAGGTCTCTCACATTCACATTAATTTTATAAGGAAGCACGTTACTATTATTACTACTTTATTTATAGAAAAAGATTACTCTGCACTGTAACTAAATTGGCTATTTTGAAACTTAAAAAGTTTATAGGATTTTGTTAAGTACCTAACACTACATTCATGGTCATCTTCATCTGAGAGCCATGAAGAGCCTGATTCCAGGTGTTAAATAGATTTAGCCACAGAAATTGATCCAAGTACCTGTGTTAAGTGTTTTCTCTGCTACTGTTTCCTTCGACATCCTCCCCTCTGGCTACTGTCTACGAAGAAAGTAATTAGAAAACAGCATGTCTAATAAACTAACAGGCAAGTCACTGTTGATCAGATATGGAAATCACATTCTAAGAAAACGGAAGGAAGCCGAGCCGCACACCTGATTGTGTTATGTGAGACCCAATGACCAAAAAAAAAAAAAAAAAAAAAAAAAAAAACAGATAACAAGCTATTCAAGTTCGGGTGCTGATTTTCTTTTTCAAAACCTGAGCAGAAGAAAAATGTCAGGGTTGTTTGGAAGCACCGAATTACAAGATCCTGAATAAGCTGCTTCATCAGACAGACAGCTAGAAAATCCTATTTGCAAAATAGCTCCCACCAGTTTCTTTTATGTCCAAAGTGAGACTCAGGTTTTGGCTAGAAAATACACTCCTGTCAGCGGTAAGGAAGAGGAATGGTGTCTCTCCCCCTTTTCAGAAACACCATTCCCTGGATGAACGGACAGCAGGAGCGCAGTCTCACAGACGCAGGACTGACCCGAGTACAGTCACCGTCTCTCTCCCAACCCTGAGGGGGGAAAATTCCTTTGTGGCACCTGGGGAAGAGAGTATCCAAACGAGCTGGTCGGAGTCTGGCAGCGTGGGCAGCAGCGCGGCGACCACGGCTCCGGGCGCGAAGGTGTGTAAGGTAGGCGGGGTGAAGCACCCAGGAGCGGAGGGAAGAGCGCTGCACCCCCGCTAAGTCTCGCCGCGCTGGGCGCGTATCTGGGCGGCCCCAGAAACCAGCAGAGGCAGACTTGGGACCCGGGCAGAGCAGGAGGTGGGCAGAGCCCCTTCCCCTGCTGCCGTTACCTGCAGCAGCAGAAGCGCAGCCGCTGGCTCTTGCTGGATCCGCGCGTCCGCTACCGACTGGACAGCAGCTACCGCCTCCACTGCCTGCACCTGCGACTCAGTGGATCCCTCTTTGGACAGGGCACCCCCACCCCGGGAATCCCAACGCCAGGAGCCATCCGTGGCCATGGCGGGGGCTTCTCGGCACCCGACTGGGACGCCCAGCCAGCTCCTTGTGGCGCTCGCCTGCCTGCTCTTGAGTCGCCCTGCGCTGCAGGGACTGGCATCCTCGCTTGGGACCGAGCCCGACCCGGCGCTTTACCTGCACGCCTGGGGTGCGCTTGAAGGCACTCGCCCCGACGGCCCTAGCGTGCTGATTGCCAACCCTGGACTCCGTGTGCCCTTGGGTCGTTCCCTTTGGCTCGACCCGCTCCGGGACCTGGTGATTGGAGTGCAGCCGGGGGACCGGTGCGAAGTCACGGTACTGGACGCCCTGCCTCTGCTCAAGGGCGCGCTCTCCCCGCGCCGCTTCCCCTGTGCCTTCGGGCCCCGCCAGGTCCAGTACACTCACTTCGGCTCCCACAGCCCCGGACGCGCCCGGGTGCTGCTGCAGCTGCGCTACGACGCCCCGACTCACACGCTGGTGCTGCCCTTCACGCTGGCGGTGGACGTGGTCTTTACCCAGCTGCAGCTGGTGACGCGCAACAGGCCTTTGGTAGTGGAGAAGCTGCAGGGCTGGAGCCGCGCCATCGACAGGAGAGTGCTGGACTTCGCCTCCCTGAAGTCCAGAGCCACGGTCACCCGCAGGTGCCAGCTCACCCCACTTCCTCACGAGGACGGCCCCCTACCCAAGTACGGGCACTTAGTGGACGCGGTGGGGGCCCCTCTCCCCAGGGGCAAGCGCATAGACTGTGAAGCTTTCCTCCGGGCTGGGGTGCGCTATCAGCACACCGCTGCCTCCTCGCCCAACCGGGACTACTTGCCAATGATGGTGGAGCTGCTGGGGCCTAAGGGCCAGGACGCTGGGTCCACGGGTGTGCTGGTCCGCGAGCACTTCCAGCTGCTGGTGAGGATCCTCGGGGGAGCCAAGAACACACCGCCCAGACCCAGCTTCATGGCCACGATGATGATGGAGGTGGATCCATTTGTGCTGACAGCCCTGACACCTGACGCACTAGCCGCGGAGGACGTCGAGTCAGACCCTGGCGACCTGGTGTTCAACATTCTCAACGCCCCCACTCCCGCACCAGGGCATCCGGGGCAGCAGGGCTACGTGGTCAGCACCGACGACCCTCTAGGCCTTCCAGTCTCCTTCTTTACCCAGCAGGAGCTGCGGGAGCTGAAGATTGCCTATCAGCCCCCTACAGAGAACTCCCATGGAGAGCGCCTCTTTCAGCTGGAACTGGAGGTGGTGGACGGAGATGGCGCCGCCTCAGACCCCTTTGCCTTCATGGTGACAGTGAAATCCATGAATACTCTGGTCCCAGTGGCTAGCCATAACAGGGGACTTGTGCTTTTTGAAGGTCAGTCAAGGCCCTTGTCCAGCACCCACAGCGTTCCTATCAGTGATAAAGATAACCTGGAAGAGGTGAAAATGGCTGCAGTCAGGGGCTTGAGACATGGGCAGCTGGTGGTGTTTGGGGCACCTGCTGGGTGCAAGTATTTCACACCGGCGGACCTGGCAGCAAGGCGAGTGGTGTATCAGCATGATGGCAGCAACACCTACAGTGACAACATCATCTTCCGGATGGAGGACGGACACCACCAAGTGGAATTTCTCTTTCCCGTCACCATCTTACCTGTGGATGATGAACCACCAATGGTCAATACTAACACAGGACTCTCACTGACGGAAGGGCAGGTGGTCCAGATCACTCCCTTTGTACTGAGTGCTACTGATATCGACTCTGAGGACTCAACCATCCACTTTGTGCTAGAGAACCAGCTCCTAGAAGGAAATAAGGAAGAGCCACAGTGGGAGCTGGCCCCTGGTTCCTCCCACTCAGGCCACTACCTGGGGGACATGTTGCTGCGGCAGGCTGAACTACCTCTCTCCACTGAAGGTGGGGACTGGCACTACATGGAAAAGGAACGGCTTTATGAGAAAGTGGTGACTGAGTGGCTACAGAGAGACATAATGGAAGGGAGACTCTTCTACCGCTATCTTGGACCACACAGCTCTCAAACTGTAATGGTCCAGCTGGCTTTCCATGTGCAGGATGACCATGACCCACCCAATCTCTCCAACCAGCACATTTTCACCATCAAGGTCCAGCCAGCGGATATACTGAGTCCACAGCTGTATCCAGGAACTACACTAGAAATGACTGTACAAGAATACCAACTCACTCACTTCCAGAAGAAATTCCTCCGATACATTGACCAGGACTCTGATGACCAGAACCTATGGTACACCCTACTGACACTCCCGACTGACACAGATCACAACCACCAAGTCCGGGCTGGAGAAATTGTGCTCACTGATTCACCAGACACACTCATCATGCACTTCACCCAAGCCCAGGTAAATCAGCGTGAAGTTGCCTACCAGCCTCCACAGAAGTTGGGTATTGCACCACGGGTTGTGCAGTTTACCTACCAGGTGGAAGATGCTGCAGGCAATAGCGTGCCAGGCACATTTACATTATTCCTGCAACCTGTGGACAACCAGCCCCCAGAAGTCACCAACAGAGGCTTTACTGTCTTAGAGGGAGGCAGCTTTAACCTCAGCAGTAATGAGCTGCATGTTACAGACCCAGACACAGACATTGACCAAATTGTCTTCATATTAGTCCACGGTCCCCAACATGGACGCTTGCAATACTTTAAAAAATGTATGGTCCCAGGGGAATCTTTCACGCAAGCTGATATTATTAATGGGAGTGTCTCTTACCAGCATGGTAGAGACCAGACAACTACCAGTGACACTTTCCATCTGGAAGTAAGTGATGGGGTGCACCATATACCCATCACCATCCCAATTTCCGTGCATCCCAGTGTGGCTAACGAAAGTCCTAGGATCTCTATCACAAGTAGTTCATTATTGGATGTTTCTATAGATGTACTAGAGAATAAAGTCACTGAAATTACCATGGGTGTCATCCATGGTAAAAGGAAGGATGTACATCACTTGATGCTGTCTTTCATTGTAAAGGACAGCCCCAAATTGGGCACTATTCTGGTCAATGGTTTGCCCACAGAACGATTCACCCAAGAGGACCTCATCAGTGGGAGAGTAGCCTATGTCCACACTGGAGGTGAAGTTGGTTTTCAAAAGCAGCATGATGCCTTCAGCCTCATCCTCTCCAATGATTCTTACCAATGGGTAGTGGGGAATAGCATAATAGAGAGAATACAGGTACAAGTAACTGTGCTGCCTGTGGACAATGTGGGACCTAAGGTCTTGGTGGAGGAGTCCTTCATTGTCTATGAAGGTGAGAAGAACTCCTTGACCTTACAACATCTCCATGTTGAAGATGTGGACACTCCTCAAGATGAACTCCTCTGCACAGTGACTAGTCAGCCAGCCTCTGGCTACCTGGAAAATATTGCACCAGCTCCTGGTTCAAAAATGTCCCAGTCTGGTAGCCCCATCAGTGCTTTCTCCCTCAGAGATGTCCAAGTGAGGCATATCAATTATGTACAGAGTATTCACAAGGGAGTAGAGCCACAAGAGGATCAATTCACCTTTTATTGCTCTGATGGCATCAACTTCTCCCCAAGTGTCTTCTTCCCTATAATCATCCTACCCACCAATGATGAGCAGCCTAAACTTTTTGCCCATGAGTTTGAGGTACTAGAGGGGATGAGCCTGGTCATAGACACCCAGCTGCTCAATGGAGCAGATGCTGACCTGCCACCGAATGAGCTCCACTTTCAACTCACAGCCCTCCCTCGGCATGGACGAATCATAGAGCAGCTGGCTACAGGCAGCCAGCCCATCCACAGCTTCACCCTCAAGGAGATCCAGGAGGCCTCCACCATTGTGTATGAGCATGATGACTCAGAGACCAAAGAGGACAGTTTTGAGGTCTGGCTAAGTGATGGCAAGCACACCACCCACAGGAAGGTACCCATTGTAGTGACCCTAGTGGATGATGAAACTCCTCAGCTGACTGTCAACAGTGGGCTGAAAGTAGAGAAAGGACACTCTGAGATCATCACAAATCGGATCCTTAAGGCCACAGATCTTGACTCAGATGATAAGAGCCTCAGTTTTGTCCTCCATTCTGGGCCTCAACAAGGGCTTCTACAGAGGCTGAGAAAACCCAGAGGAGAAGTGAGGAACAATCTTACTCTGGGAATGAACTTTACCCAGGATGAGATTGACAGAGGCCTCATCTGCTATATCCACACAGGCCAAGAAGGGATTGTTGATATTATCAAGTTTGATGTGACTGATGGGGTTAACACTTTGACAGACCACTACTTCTATGTCACTATTGGCAACTTAGACAAGGTCCTCCCTGAGGTAATCAGCAAAAGGATCACCTTAACAGAAGGTACCAGAGTGACCATTACCAACAGTCTGCTTAGCAACAGTGATATCAACAGCTCTGATGAACATCACTTTAACATTACATGGGCTCCAAGCCTGGGTCACCTAGAAAGTTCTGACCATGCTGGGGAACCCATTGCCTCTTTCACTCAGCTTCAATTGGCTAGCAACAAAATATCCTATGTCCGTACTTCAAATGATGAGAAAAAGATGGACAGCTTTGAGTTTCAAGTGATCAGTGAACTCTACCCTGTGTCCAGAACCTTCAGGATCTTCATCACTGATGTGGATCATAAGAAACCTATCTTGACCATCCATAGACTAACACTACAGAAAGAGGCTAGCCAACTGATCACTCCCCTTGAGTTGACAGTGGAAGACAAGGATACCCCAGATTATCTTATTCTCTTTACCATCACCCAGGTCCCCATGCATGGCAAGATTTTGTACAATGGTAGCCATTCTGTGACCACTTTCACCAAGCAAGACCTGAACAAGAACCTGATTAGCTACAAGCACGACGGCAGTGAGACCACTGAAGATAGTTTCTCCTTGACTGTGACAGATGGCACTCACACTGATTTCTATGTCCTCCCAGACACTGCCCTGGAGACACACAAACCTCAAGTAATGAGGGTCCAGATAAGATCATTAGACAATAGGCTTCCCCAGATTACTATCAACAGGGGTGCCCTAACCTTGAAGCACCTTCACACTGGACATATGGGCTTCTTGATTACCAGTAAGTCTCTGAAGGCAGAAGATCAGGACAGTCCCCACAGGCTTCTGAAGTATAAAGTTACCAGAGGACCAGAGCATGGCTTCATTATCAGAACTGGCCTTGGAAACCAGAGCACTCGAGTGTTTACACAAGGTTAGTATGCATTCTTCCCTGACTATTCTGTCCCTCCCCTTCATTGGATCAGATCTCTCAGCTTTGTGTAAAATTGTCCTGACCTCAGACATTTGCACTAAGATTCTTGTTCTAATAAAATACAGTAAAGTATGAAATTATTCTAAAAACAAACAAAGCAATAAGTCCTTTTTCATCAATTTCATCAGCATGCCCATTTAACAGGAACTCACACGTATTTCATAAAGTTGTAGTTATACCTTAAAACTGCTAAACACAGGAGGACAGCTTCTACTTCTGAAATATTATAAGATAACCTTATATTAATTCTGATAATATCAGATTGATTTTGAATTTTAAGAATGACATATAGAAATCATTTGCATAGTTATTAGTAAGTCCAGATTTCTGAAGATGTTTGGTATCTAGATTTTGGATATAAATTCCTACATTGTTCATTTTTATTATACTATTCAAATGTAATTTCTACATCTAATAAAAGCACAGAACTATGTTTGCCTGAGATTATTTTTTTCTTTTATATTTGGTGTTACTACTAATTATGAACTAGAGGCAGGTCCCTCTACTTTCCCAGGTGATGTGATACCTGCTGGTTTTTAAATGCTCTTTATGTTGTCATAACTTTTTTAGATAGCTCTGTGCATGAAATGTCCCACACATGATACATGTAAACCTAGATGCAAACTCAGAGGAAAACTTACACATGTTTAAAAAATAGTTTGGTTACATTTTCAGAATTTCTTCTAAAGCAAATGAAATCATATGTGGTTCTCCATGGCACGTGTATACCTATGTGACAAATCTCCATGTTATGCACATGTATCCCAGAACTTAAAGTATAACAGAGAAAGAAATAATGCAATCACAACAGTGATAACATTTTCAAATATTAAACTTATATGAACTTTAAATAATAAAATCATGTGACTCTATAAGGATTATTTCTACAAACAAACACCTCCGAGAGCAAATTGTTTTTAAAATACTAATAATTACCAATATAAAAACATAATTATAGACCTTCATAACAAATTATTACCCAAGAGAATAGGCAATAGGAAAAACTCATGATTTTATTCTAATTTTCTTTTTTCTTAGGATGCAGCAATTATTCTTGTTTAGATTCATTTTGACAAATAGTTCATGAGTATCCACAAATATGTCAAGCTCTATACTTGTGCAGAAGATTCAAAACCAGATAAACCTGGCTCTCCATAGAGGGCCAGGATGTTGTAAAGCACACGTAACTAGAATGCCCTCCTTGCTGGGTTTTAGCACCCAGAGAATATGCACATAGTAGCACTGTGACAAAGTCAGGGTTTCTTAACTTTTATTTTAGGTTTGGAGGTACATATATTTAAACTCATGTCATGCTGGTTTGTTGTACAGATTATTTCATCACCCCGGTATTTAAGCCCAGTACCCAGTAGTTGTCTTTTCTGCTCTGCTCCTTCCTCCTACCCTCCATCCTCAAGAAGACCCCACTGTCAATTGTTCCTTTCATTGTATTCATGAGTTCTCATCATTTAGCTCCCACTTATAAGTGAGAATATGCAGTATTTGGTTTCCGGTTCCTGAATTAGTTTGTTAAGGATAATAGCCTCTAGCTCTATCCATGTTCCTGAAAAAACAACAACAACAACAACAAAAACACATGATCTAGTTTTTAATGGCTGCATAGTATTCCATGGTGTATATGTAATATATTTTCTTTATCCAATATATCAATGATGGACATTTAGGTTGATTCAGTGTCTTTGCTATTGTGAGTAGTGCTGCAATGAACATTTGCATGCATTTGTCTTTATGGTAGAATGATTTATATTTTTGGGATGTATACACAGTAATAGGACTGCTGGGTTGAAGGATAATTCTGCTTTTAGTTCTCTGAGGAATCACCACACTGCTTTCCACAATGGCTGAACTAATTTACACTCCCACCAACAATGTATAAATGTTCCCTTTTCTCTCCAACCTCACCCAGAATCTGTTATTTTTTGGCTTTTTAATAATCACCACTCTGACTGGGGTGAGATGGTACCTCATTGTGATAAAGTTTCAAACTAAAGTTTTATTTTTGACATTGTAGCTTTAAGAAGATTCATGTTCACTTAATCATTATTTTCAAATTTATTAATTGGAGTATTTCTATGCCTAATTAAAACTTTGAAGTTGTTAACATACTCATTTTCATTTGTGCCAATATGACTGTGTGTGACATTTGCTCTTTTTTTTTTAGCTGACATTGATGAGATGAAGATATCCTATGTCTTGAATGAGGGCAGCAATGCATCAAAGGACATCTTCTATTTCTCTGTTGAAGACAATGGTAAGTCAATAATAAAACCTTCAAAAGGACTCGTGGTTAACTAAAATCAACATAAAATAGGAAAAAAAATTAAATAATTTCTAGGCAAGTACAGGCATCATATAAGCAAGTAATCACAATCAATAATGGTATAATACAAACAAATTAATTCTTTTTGTTTCTCTTATGGTCCTGTGCCAAACGATTCTTGATAAATAACTTTTTAGGAAGAGAAAGCAGTGAGGGATTTGATGAGTGAAATGTGAAGTATTTTATCTGATCTGGATCATGTGTGACATCATATAGGCAAGTGAATCTCACCTTCAAGAGATTCTGTGAATCTAGCTAGTGGTTTCTATCATTCTGAAACAAATTAGAAAATACATCTTCAGATTTTGTTGGGATTTTTATTTGCAGAACTGAATCTTATGGCTCCCTGACCTTAGATTCGAAATCCTTCTGGATGGGGTGTATATATATATATATATATATATATATATATCTCGGCATAGAGGATATATATATATCTCCCGGCATAGAGGAAAGCTTACTTGAAAACTGCCTGTTTATGCTGCAGCTTGGTCTGTGTACTACTAACTTCAAAGTAGAATAATGGGCAGCATCTAGTTAACAGAAGCCACTTTCTTTACACACCTAGGGATTCAATGATTATGTGGTCAGCAGAAAAATCATTTTGCAGTATGACAGGATAATAGCAGAAATTATCTCTGTGTGCTGCTTGCCACTCAGTAACCTCTTTCAGCACAAATTATTACTCATTCCCAGTAAGTAACCTGCATTTTCTGCCTAAATCATGTGTAATCAGTCAAGAATTGAATTTATTGTAAAGTAGTCCTCTATGAGAGGCCGTATGGTATACTGACTGGGTTTGAATCCCAACTTGTCCCGTGTGACTTTGAGTAAGTGACCGTGTCCGCTTCATTCATCCCCCCATGTATAAAGTGGTGGTCTTCATACCTATGTCAAAGGGTTACTAAGAGGATTGACTAAGATCATAAACGTAAAGCACTTCATAAAAAGTAGGTGCTTTCACCTGATTCTTGTTCATTTTTTAAAAAAAATTTAATTTAAAAATAGGTGCCCATTAACTAGATATTTTCTCCCCTTCTGATGAGACTGACTACAGTTGAAACCACTGATCCCTCCTCCCCATTTCCTTCCTTAAAGTTTAAAATCAAATCTTCTTTCCCTTTCCCAAGTTCTCAAGAACCATAAGTTCCTAAAAAGATGAATTTATGCCTTTAAACAGGCTCATAAATAAATGTAAGACAAATGCTTTATCTTGAGTATTTTCCTTTCTGCTTTTGAAACGATCTTTTTAGAGAAAGATGCACCTCTGACTCTGACACTATGCTTTGTGGACAACGTTACAAACAGAAATCAGTCTGTGATGACACTGTAAGGTGGATTTTATGTAGCTACCATGTTTTAACTTTTTTCTGTGAGCTAGCCTGTCCTTAAAGACATTATGACTTTTGATCCTCACTACAAAATAAAAAGTAAATGTTATGATGACCACTTTAAAATGAAGACACCACGGTTAAATAACTTGCCTGAAGTCATACAAGTAACAGGCAAGTAAACTGGAATCAAATCCAGGTCTTGCCAATTCCAAAGCTAGGGTTCTTAACTGCTAATGCTACACTCACCCTGCTTTGGGAAGCTGAAGCCATAGACAAAAGTTAGAGAACAGGGCCAAGACTGCACTTCTTAACCTGACAAAGAAGCGCCTTGAGAATCAAAGTGATAAGAATGATCAAACACAGAGTCCAAAGTATTTGAGGATACATTTGTTCATAGCTGGATCTTAAAGTATGTATACATAAACTGATTAAATATTTGCACATTCATTTATCCAGTGAATTTTTTTCCCTTGGATCCAGGGACAAACTGGAATTTTTAAAAATTATTTCTTTAAGATTTTTTTCTAGAAACAGGATCCCTCTATGTTGCCCAGGCTGGAATGCAGTGGCTCGAACTCTAGGCTTCAAGTTGGTCCTCCCACATCCACCTCTCAAGTAGCTGGTACTACAGGCATGTGCTGCCATGTCCAACCAGTGAATTTTTCAGTTGCCTTCCACGTACTGTGCATGGAGCTAAGATCCATGTCTGCTGATGATGGGCATTCCTGGAACAGCTGATAAAGGACTCACTTTAAACGTTTTATTATCTGTTATTTTGAAATATTATGAATCCATTGCTTTACAGTAGCTGACTTAATCTTTTTTTCTTTCAAAATGCCCTCACTTTAAAAAGATTTCCCAAATGGAATGTTGAACATTTCCATTTGATCTATTAATAATTTTTTTTTCCTAATGGCACATAGCACTAACAGAAGGTATTATACCCTTCTAGAAATAGATCTTTCACTGTTGGGCTGAAGTAGATGTCGTTGTTGTTGTTTCCATACCAATATTCAAACTGTTAAAAGAAGACCCTGCCCTGCCTCCAGAACTGACATTAGGTGTATGCTGCAGCTTAGCTCAGGGGTCTTAAGAATGGAAATACTGGCAAAAATGACCCTCGCGCTCCAACTTTGCTAAAATCTCAAGAGTGATACCATGAAGGCTTCTAATTAATAGGCTCTGGACCCAGGCTGTCTGTATCCAAATCCCAGCTCAACTCTTGTAGTCTTACATATTTGAGAAACTGCTTGTGCTTTAGTTTGCTCACCTATGAGTTGAAGATAATGATGGCATGTGCCCCTTAGAATTATTATGAAGATTTTATTAGTTTCCTATTGCTGCTATAACAAATTACCACAAACTTAGTGGCTTGAACCAACACAAATCTGTCATCTTACAGTTCTGGAGTTCAGAAATCCAAAATGGTCCTTACTAGAATAGAATCAAGGTTTTGACAAGGCTGCATTTTCTTTTTTTTTTTTTTCCATAAGTTTTTGGGGGTACAGGTGGTATTTGGTTACATGGAGTAAGTTCTTTGGTGGTGATTTGTGAGATTTTCGTGTACCCATCACCCAAGCAGTATACAGTATTTTTTGCCCCCTTTCCACTCTTCCCCCCAAGTCCCCAAAGTCCATTCTATCATTCTTATGCCTTTGCGTCCTCATATCTTAGCTCTCACGTGTGAGAACATATGATATTTGGTTTTCCATTACTGAGTTAATTCATTTAGAATAATAGTCTCCAATCTCATCAAGGTCACTGCAAATGCTGTTAATTCATTCCTTTTATGACTGCATAGTATTCCATTGTATATATATACCACAGTTTCTTTATCCACTCATTGATTGATGGGCATTTGGGTTGGCTCCATGATTTTGTAATCGTGAATTGTGCTGCTATAAACATGTGTGTGCAAGTATCTTTTTCAAATAATGACTTCTTTTCCTCTGGGTGGATACCTAGTAATGGGATTGCTGGATCAAATGGTAGTTCTACTTCTGGTTCTTTAAGGAATCTCCACACTGTTTTCTGTAGTGGCTGTACTAGTTTACATTCCCACTGGCAGTGTAGAAGTGTTCCCTGATTAACAAACACATCCACACCAAAATCTACTGCTTTTTTTTAATTATTATTTTTTGATTATTGCCATCCTTGCAGGAGTGAGGTGGTATCTTATTGTGGTCTTGATTTACATTTCCCTTATTATTAGTGATGTTGGGCATTTTTTCATGTTTGTTGGCCATTTGTATATCTTCTTTTGAGAATTGTCTATTAATGTCCTTAGCCCGCTTTTTGATGGGATTGTTTGTTTTCTTCTTACTGATTTGTTTGAGTTTGTTGTAAATTCTGGATATTAGTCCTTTGTCAGATATATACATTGTGAAGACTTTCTCCCACTCTGTGGGTTGTGCGTTTTCTCTGCTGACCATTTCTTTTGCCATGCAAAAGCTCTTTCGTTTAATTAGGTCCCAGCTATTTATCTTTGTTTTTATTGCATTTCCTTTTGGGATCTTGAAATCCTTGGCTAGGCCAGTGTCTAGAAGGGTTTTTCCAATGTTATCTTCTAGAATTTTTATAGTTTCAGGTCTTAGGATTAAGTCCTTAAGGCATCTTGAGTTGGTTTTTGTATAAGGTGAGAGATGAGGATCCAGTTTCACTCGCCTACATTTGGCTAGCCAATTATCCCAGCACCATTTGTTGAAAAGGGTGTCCTCATGCACACGTATGTTTATTGCGGCACTATTCACAATAGCAAAGACTTGGAATCAACCCTAATGTCCATCAGTGACAGACTGGATTAAGAAAATGTGGCACATATACACCACGGAATACTATGCAGCCATAAAAAAGGATGAGTTTGTGTCCTTTGTAGGGACATGGATGCAGCTGGAAACCATCATTCTTAGCAAACTATCACAAGAACAGAAAACCAAACACCGCATGTTCTCACTCATAGGTGGGAACTGAACAATGAGATCACTTGGACTCGGGAAGGGGAACATCACACACCGGGGCCTATCATGGGGAGGGGGGAGGGGGGAGGGATTGCATTGGGAGTTATACCTGATGTAAATGACGAGTTGATGGGTGCTGACGAGTTGATGGGTGCAGCACAGCAACATGGCACAAGTATACATATGTAACAAACCTGCACGTTATGCACATGTACCCTAGAACTTAAAGTATAATAATAATAAAAAATAAATTTAAAAAAAAAAAGAAATTCTAGACAGAAAAAAAAAAAAAAAAGAAAAGGGTGTCCTTTCCCCACTGTATGTTTTTTGTTTGCTTTGTCAAAGATCAGTTAACTGGAAGTATTTGGCTTTATTTCTGGATTCTCTGTTCTGTTCCATTGGTCTGTGTGCCTACTCTTGTACCAGTACCATGCTGTATTAGTGACTATGGCCTTATAGTACAGTCTGAAATCAGGTAGTGTGATGCCTCCAGGTTTGTTCTTTTTGCTTAGTCTAGCTTTGGCTATACGGGCTCTTTTTTGGTTCTATATGAGTTTTAGAGTTGTTTTTCCTAATTCTATGAATAATTATGGTGGTATTTTGATGGGAAGTGCCTTGAATTTGTAGATTGCTTTGGGCA